AAAATGCATGAATACAAGCCCTCGGTGCTACATAGCACCATTCAAAGGACCCATCATTATCCGTCGAAATAGCAGCGTTCGCCATCGAAGTAGCATAGTCTCCTTCGTCGTTCACATCTATATCTATATCAAGCCCGTTATCCGTGATTGTCCGAAGGAATGGAAGGATGAGCTGGAAGGACTTCGTCTTGTCCATGAAGGCACTCTTTTGGATCTCCTTCTTTGCGCGCCACGCTTGTAGGTACGATATCTGATTTGAGTGCTGAAGTCTTTCAGCAGTCTGAATCTGGCGTGGCCTCGTCCGAAAGTCGCTCTTAACCATATCTCCTTGTCGGTGGGCAATGAGCTTTGCAGATCTTGATGCTTTCCAATCTTGATGGGAGCTAAGATCGCAGGTGTGAGGGACCAATTTCCGAAGCTCAAATTGATCGGATCGATTCATATAAGCGATCCGGAGGAAGAATTTGCATCCAGTTTCCTCGCTCGAGCGGCAGATAGCGTGAAATCTCGTCCGATCGCTGGCAGCTACTTTGAATGAAAGTCTCTGGGTCACCATAACGTGAAGAACCGACTCTTTTGCTTCATCAATTGACGCGAATGTCTGTCCGATAAATAGAGTACTAGGCAAATCCCTGGAGGATGCCATCGTAGTCAATTGTCGCTAGATTTTGTGTTAACCTCGCGTTAGAACGCGTCGACTCTTTAATCGCGTCAGACGCGTTATGAACCGTCACGGCTTTAGCCGGGCGCTGAGTCTGACGCGGATAACAGGAAGCCCCACCACCTAATACCAAGAATAACGACATTATACATATTCTCGTGTAAAACTGCTTTGTCTACTGTCTAGAAGAGTCTAGCGAAGGTGCGAAACCTACTAATAAGACTATGGCATGTGGGATAGAAACAGTGGCATGTGGGATATTTTACAAGCTAACGTCACGTGTGTGGTAGTGTATTTGAAACGGTGGTAGATGGGAAATTATTACGCCAAGCAGTGGTGTGGCGGAAATTTGCCGGGCATCGGACAATTGCAAAGTTCGCATCTATCTTGCCAACATAATCCATTATTCGGTCATCGGGGCTTTCCCATTTGCTTCCACTATTATCGCGATTTTTGTGGTTACGATTGGGAATTAACTAGTTAACTAATTATATTCTTATATGGCCGCGACAAAAGGCGGGTTTATTAAGACTAGGCATTGGACATTGTGTGTATTATTCTTTGCGACGGGCGTTGGACCTAAATTTTTTAAGTCGCAATAGCATTGCTTTTACAAGATGCGTTCATTGAACTTAGTTAACTAGCTTCTGCCCGATGATGCAAGTAGCTTATAAATCGCATTCGTCTTATTTGTGCTACAGTGATTAGCGATTGCAGCTTCACCCCTGCAGGCAGCATTATAACAGTTTCGTCATCTTTGAGACTGAATATTGACCAATCATGTTCAGCTGATTGCTAGCGCTAAGCTATGTACAGAAGGTGGGGCTGCTCTAGCATGCTGCGCAGCTGCGCGTAAGGGTGAAGCTGCAATCGCTATCAACTGTAGTTAGTTATACATGAATCTAGAATATCTTTTGCCGCACGCGGAGGCGCGGTAGATTTAATAAGTGTATTGTTTTCTGCTATCTACTATCTTGAGTTGTAACTATGTGGTGTATAGCCATTGGATTTTCTTGTTGAGGCGGTGCATCCTTGTTGCCATTACAGGGGCTTGTTACTTTGGCGCAGCTGAAGTCATTGCCTCTATGGCCTCGCTAGGTTGTGAAATGATGACCTAGTATGGATACCCCGCATTTGCCTCCACAAGTGTCATAGCGATAGTGCATCCACTGTCATTGGTATGTATTCGTTGTGTGCATAGGCTTTCTAGCTACTAACACTCTAAGTACTCCTATTCGTCTTAGTATATAGGGTATCTCCCTATGCAATAGGAGATGTTAGTTAGCAACAAACTGTTCACGAGTGCCTGCAGAGTCGCGGATGACATGTGGCCATAACTAACCTTCGAATCTCTAAATGCGGCGACCTAAAAATCTCGAATGTGACCCTTATCTATAAAGGTGTCAGTAGCAGTTGCAAGCACGATTGTGTATAACTAGTCTACTAGGAAGCGATGCAGAGTATGTACATACTGTGCACACTAGGTGACCGGCCTCAAGATATCAAGAGGTGGCCAGCAATCAAGTAGGCAGAAGATAACTAATATTCCACCGCTGGAGTGAATCACGTGAAGAAAGCGCCTACCCATACATACTGAAAAGGGATCTTAAGATATACTTGCGCCTAGATCACCTGCTACTACACCATAATACTCAGGCTTACCGGTACGCCTTAGGTGTAGGCACTGACCCTACTGTTTGCTCTACTTATGTACCCTACACCACTAATGCAAAACGTGATGTTAGTATTACATAATTGGAATCCGCATGTTTCTTTAAGCAGCGTTACACGGTCAATAAAGCCTGGGTGGCTATATCGTTAGCCCTATACCTTCAATTTCTACCGGATCAGTTTATTGATGTATCTCTCAAGTTATTAATTCCTGTTATTCTGCTAATCACTCCAGAATTCTTACTTTAACCTTATCCTACTCCCTCTTATGAACCTGATGATATAGAGCGTTCATCTAGCGGAAAAAGTGGCTATTGGAAGCACGTCTATAAAATATCATGAAACCCATAACTGCCCAACTTGCCCGGAAAAGAGAAAGGAACCGTGAGAGTCAGCGAAGGTCGCGCCAGAGGGTCAAAGATCAGATTGATGCTCTCGAACGACAGGTTTGGGATCAAGTGTTCAAACATAGACTGTCTCATTAACAGCCTTAGAACAGAGAGCTTGAGCTAGACAACAGATCGCTGCAGAAGCAGCTGCTACATGCCCTAGAAGCTATAGAAGTGTTCGAAAAGGGTGCGAGTCTCCACCAAAACTCTATCGTTAAGCAGAAAGTGCATATCTAACCTATATAGCTCTGTGTCAATCTAAATTAAAAGCAGAAGCCTTCATAGATACCAATTTCCATATGCCACGCACTTCAAGTAATGCTCCGGTATCAAAGCACGACCTATTAACTCCAATGTCATATTTGAACCACAGCTCATCAGATATATGTGCCTTATCACCCTTAACTTACAGATATAGTTCTTTTAACATAAATAACCGTCCTAATGTAGGTAGCATGTACGAAAGCAAAGCCGAGCTGGAAAACAGCTGGGAGTACAGCTCCCTACACTTATCACCGGACATGAATGAGACAACCGGTATCATATTTGAGGATTCGGAGACGATATCATTCCTAGCACAGCAAGTTAGCGAAGGTGGTTCAGTAGCGGAGTGTTTATAGTGCACTTAGCAAAAGCACAAAGCCAATGGTGTCGTCGTCATCAGAGAGCTTAATCGTGTTTTCTCAACGTTCCGTCAAGTCCTCCCAATAAGCACCCGCAAGAAAATCTGAGGTAGGAACTAGTTGATAGAGTTGTTCGAAGAATTGTTACAAAGTTTAGAATTTTCCACGTGCTTTTTTCCTAGCGCGATGTATATCGTGTTTAGCGCTGTAGGTACCAGTACTATCTGCCCATCTAACGAGCTTGCCGCTCATAGGCAATGTCTTATGAGTGTGTTGCTCGGTCGCTTCTTGGAGACGAGATACCAAGTCTTCTACATTACCTAATGTATGTTCTAGCTGCCCCTTTATATTTTTCAATTCCTCCAAGAAATCTACCACTTCGGTATGACTCTCCTCAGGCTTGCGCTCTATATAGTTTTTAAGCGCTACTCGATCTGTAGGGAGGATAGCCTTACTAGCGTTGGTGTGTGAGGCTGCTTCTTTGGTCTCGCGCGAGGTGAATTTGCCAGGCTGTTCCTTGCTCTTATTACCGGACTGCTTGCTTGCAGATGCCGGTTCTGCTCGATCTACAGCTGGATAAACGACATTATCTCTAACTGATAGACAGTTTTGATATCCCTAAGATAATTAATAATGATCGTTAATCGTGCAGCATCTATGCATACTTGGTACAATGTATCGTCTGGAATAGTATCTTGAGAACTCATCGCTCTCTTGGTTTCTTGAGAAGGCACAGACTGCAGGTTGGAAGAGAAGTAGTTTTGTGAGAGGGATTGAGAGCTTACTATATATCATTCGTCTTGGCTAGACTAGTTAGGTCGTCGGACGTGGTACGCAATGACATTCTAAATCGCCACAGGGGTCAATAATCCTATACAGCGCGGCGCATATTACTTGCATATGGATCAGTATCAGCGCACACAGTTAGTGGGGTGAAATAGATGCAGAGTTAGCATCAGTTGCCTATTGGGACTTAGTGCCAAGGTAACAGGAATTGTCGGTTTCTTTTTAGAGCTAACCTATCTATGGTGATAGTACCATTCTATGGATTTCTATAGTAACAACGTCATTTTCGCAATAGAAATTGTTATGCTATACATCGTCAAGCAATTACCCCTAGAGATAAACAGTTTGCTCGGTTTTAGAAAGCGCGGCAGTAATAGTTTCTTCAACTAATACAGCAATTTCTGTGCCTCATTCCTAGACACAAAACTAGAGAGATGGTTGCATAGTTCGGGTTCAGGATACCGGTGTAGGTGATGGTGCCATTGTGAACAGTTGCGGTCATTGGCCCGTTTTTGATAGCCTGCTGTGCTGCCTTCTTTAGGTGAGACGCCTGCTTCGAGCTGAATTTGGATTCTGCCAGGTAGATGCATTGGTTAGCAGGAACTTGGAAGCGGACATGATCTTAAATCTATCTCTGCTGCATCTGTTATATATTTAACATAGTCCCTTCATTCATCGTGCTCAGCCAGTCCTGCAACCTTCTCCAATCTCCTTGAATACCTCTCAATACTAAGCTTGGTATACCCTGCGCTGCGCGAGACCAATGTCGTACTACACGTTGTCGATCGGAATCTATAGGTATAGAGAAGACCCGAACCACCGCTCCCATTGGGGTTTTCTGATTTTCCGTCAGGGAAACGAAGTTGGAAACCTCCTGCACGTACAGTTGATGTCTTTCGAAGGATTGATTTATCAGTTCGAAACTCGCAGCGGTCACCCACTAGAAAGCTAGACTTGTGAAGGAAGGGTACTTTTAGGTTATATCGAACCGACAAAGTATAATCAGGTTGTGGATATCATATCAAAAGAACCAGCACCGCGGAACAATAAAGTGAGGACACCATTGCTGATTAGATATAATTCTAATTAATGCAGGATCGATGTCAAGACTGGACTCTAGATTGCGTGATTGCACTCGAAGCTGAGGAATTACTCCCTGCCGGTACCTCAGGTTGGATTGAAGGAATCGTCGGGAAGCCTTCTAAAGACGTTGCAGCAGCAGTGGGTGGGAGATGGACCGCAGCAAGAAGGTAGAATTGGGGTGACAAGGGAGATCTGGATTAGGTAAACCTCATAGTCCACTATATCGAACCAGCTCACGCTCAAGTTCTAATAGTAAGGCATAAGTGTTATCCGGTATCTTTGGAATTATCTGATCGATCATGGAAGACCACAAAGAATTACGAGCGCGCGACTTTGCTTCAAAGTATTCACGTTCAGGTATACTGAACCCTGAAACTCCCATGTCTAGGATAGCAACCACATTGAGTTGGTCATCAACGAGTATATTGTCTGGGGTAAGATCTCCATGGCAGAATACAGCGCATTTGTCCCCAAGACGCTGGATTCTTTCTATCAGGTGCGCATCATTGGCATCGAATCGTCCATAAGGCCGGGAATTTCGAAGTGCATCGATAAGCCCATTACAGTATTCTGTATGCGACCTGAATGGGCCATATTTCCGGTCTGGCATGTTTGCGGCAGGTAAATGTTGAAAGAAGACATCTTGACACGGTTTAAAGCCCATAGACCCAAAAAAGTCACCACGTAGACCCATCCAGCTTTGGACGAATCCTGAAAGTTGTGTAGTCACTCTTTCTACCTGTGCTTCGTGAAAGGTATGGAGAACGTCATGCAGCGGTGTTCCAATAACCCTAGACATAAAAATATTACCAAAGCCATCCTTTTCGTAAGCGCCGAAAACTTCTGGAACAGGTACATGGGTTGATGAGGCAATGAAACGCAAAGCTTCGGCCTCTGTGACCTTTACGTTAGGCCCTCTTTTGAGTATGCGGTCAGAGTCTTGCAGGTGCCAAATCGATTTATCAATCTTGTGCACAGCGATATTCTTAGCTTTCGTCATATCAACGACAGTAGTGAGGTCGGTGTCGAAGATAACGGGCATAGCAGGCTTTTCAGGAAAGGGGGCGCCACTGACAGGGCTATTGTTAGCACAAAGGGAAATGTAGCAGAGACAAAGATAAGCTTACTACAGAGGAGGAGGAGGAGGAGGAGGTGGTGGTGGTGGTGGACAGATTGGGGCCATGACAAAACTTGTTTGCAAGAGGCAAAGTTGGAATGTTATGGTGTTGCGGCAATCGAGCGACGCGCCACTCAGAAGGATGAACACCCAAGGGCGGGCGCGACGTGCCTAAGACGCAGAACAAGGACGACGCACAGGCCACGTTAGGCAGCAGCGTGACGCTTGGGAGAGTACACCCTATTCGATAGCAACTGCTGGCGCTTGTTTAGATTTCAAAACTCGAATACTCTAGCGCTGTTAGCAATGATTTATCTACCTACATGTCAGAGTTGGTAGGCGTGAGGCTAAAAAATGCGAAGGTGCGGGTATGGCATTTACTGAATACTGGGCATCGGTCAGGCTTGCGCTACATTCGTGATGACTCCATTCAGCCGCTGCGAGGCCAAGCCAAAGTATCACGCAAGGCTGACAAGGACGCACGATACCACTATAGCTGTTGTGTGGAATCTTGGCGGGCGGGTTTACTTCAGCCCCGCAGACCTTGGCCATGCATCCAGTCAACTCCTCATTCTCTGCTTAACATAGTTTAGAAATTATGATTGCTATCCACACAGGCTATACTGATATTAGTTCTCGTACAAAACCTTACTGCCACCGTTGCGACCGAACATTCGATACCGGTCGAGCAAGAGACCAGCATTACGATGCCTCGGCTCGTCACCACATTTGCGATGTCTGCCGGTTCGACGGCTCCTCCTATGATGAGTCAATACAACACAATCGCAGTACGCTTCATAGGATTATGTGCGATGGTTGTGACGATGATGGGTGGTGGATACCGGATAGCCAAGCGTACAAGGACCATTTGAGGAATGATAATGTGTGTACGACATGCGAGCGTCATTTCGATAGCCTCAACAACCTGCGACATGTGGGTATTACCGTGTTTGAACGCACTACTCGTGTCCCGATTCAGTCCTCGCTCTAATAGCTAATAGCACAAGCTGGTGCACCTGAAGCCTTCCGTTGAATGCTATGGTTGCACTCGGTCCTTCACTACTTATTCCGGGATGATAATTCATCTAGAGTCTGGGACGTGTGCGTCTAGTATTGATATTCTGGACTTAAACAAGTCAGCTGCAATGTGTTACCAATGGCAGAAGTTCCTGGACGAGGAATACCGTGACGATATCCTTAGCTGTTATGATTTGGAGGAAGAGTACGATGGCGCGGTTTATCCGTTTAAGTGTCCAGAATGCGACACTACGTTTTCAAAACTTTCAGGACTCTTCCAGCATGTAGGTAGTGGGTCTTGCGAACAGAGGTTAAACCGCGGGCCGATAGCCAAGCTTGTGAAGTGGTTGTCAAACAGACATGCCTAGTAAGCAGATTTAGAAGAGCTATAGCAAGGCTATACTTTAATTAAATGACGTTGTTTTTATTGAACCAGCTACTCTCATTGAGACTATATACTACATAAAGTAGAGTGGAAAACTTACTCAGCATTGCTCCTCCTAGAGGGGCTTAGAAAGTGCTTCCACTTGGCTCAACAGTTTGGCTCATCGCATCGCTACAACCACAGTTGCCCCCAGCCACGATGTGGAATTATCAAAGTAGCAATACCGACTAGCTAGACGAACAGAGTAAGTACCACCAAAACTCATTCCTTTGAACAATCACATATTCTTGCCGCATTGCCACACAGTAATCATTCCGAAAGTTCTGCGGAGAACATATGATAACGCCTCTAACTAGCGTATCTCTAGCCAAACCGATGTACGAATCGATGCATAGCCCCTGAATAGAGTTTCCCTCGCAACCTTTCTTCCAATGTTGCACTACCTAAAAGTTACTCTCGTCTGCCAATCTGCATGGGAATGAGTGGCGCAGTCTTCTCATCCACTCGCTTACTGGCACAATAATTTGACGCCATATCCGATTGATATAGAAAGGGAGATAACATGATAGCTGTATAAAAGTACATGCCTGGTAACAATTAGATGACGAGATGAAGGTCAAAGGAGACTCACCATAAAAATGCCTTGTCGTAGTTTGGTGGAAGTGCTTCTACCAGCAAGTGAGAAAGTAGAGGTGAAGATCGCGCTACAAAATTGGCTAGATGCTGCAGCAGCATTTGTAAAGACGAAGGCATGCAATAATCGCATGTATTCTTCGTTTCCATCTCCGGTCTCGGATCCTGAGTTCTTGTGGATCTCTAGTTGCTTGTGTGAGAGTGCCGAAGAGAAAAGGGATGCAGCAGCAAAACGAGTTAGCAGTGCCGACTCGTAAGCAGAAGATTTAGTTTGGCCCCTACTTGTATTTAGAAAACCTCAGATACGAATTGAGTTCACCTACGTAACAGCAGAAGCAATGTCCAGTATAGTCAAGACCGCCACCATATGTACCGCCCATATGCTCCAGGGAGGAGAGATGAAGATCTGAAGCATTCGGACGAGCTGAAGTTCCTGTTAGTTGGAAGCGAGCTATCAAGGTAGGCAGACTGTCTTACGTTATTGCTAGTAAGAAGCTGGAGATTACACATAATGATTGCGTCAAGCCAGGAGTACATCTCTGCTGGATGGGGTTTGGTCGCAATTGCAATGAGTCCAGTAATACCTAGGCCTACTGAACTGGTACCGACAATGATTCCTATAATTTTCTCCCAACGGTAATCGTACTCAGAGACCTGGACTTCTGCCCTGGATAGATTTCTGATATCGAGGTAAGTGAGCGTGCTGCTTAGTATAGGTCCGACTGAAAAGCAAATCGCAAGGCTGACTGATACGAAGGGTGCCATAATGACAAAAGTTGGTGCAGTACTGAATATGGGGGGCTCGCACCTTTTGTACATGCTTTACTTCGTAAACTGGTTCCGTAGAGTGGAGCCCAGGTAGAGTTACACTGAGAAATAAGTCCAGACAGCTTCAGGCACAGCAATGGAAAACTCGATAAACTTGGAGTATTCGGCCTTATTAGCCAGGGAGATAGGACCTGGAAGTAGTTGTGATGGCTGCAGGTGCCCGCATCATCAGGAGTGTTATACCGTATATGCAGCCGCACAGCCTCCATCAAGGCCTCCAGTGGATGCTATCATGTGCCCTGAAAGTCTATCTATTCTCTCTGTATCGTCTCCCCTAAGATTACCAGGACGTTTGAGATTTGGATTGACTGAAGTTCGTGATATTAGAGAAATTGGCAAGTTCCTAAGAGTTAGACCATGTTCAAATGTAGCAGGATGTTTCTAGGAACACAGCGTTTCTAGGAGCAGAGCGTTTCTAGGAGCAGAGTGTTTCTAGGAGCAGGGCGTTTCTAGGAGCAGGGCGTTTCTAG